GACTCTGCGCGCGGAGGATGGGGCAACGAGCCTGCTGATCCAGAAGAAGGCGCAACCTGGGTTTGCAACTGGAGCATGGGGAACCGGCACCGTCACCACAGGAGGATGGGGAAACAACGAGCCTGACGAAGGGGAGCTCACGCAAGAGGAATTGGAGAAAGCTGAGCAAGAAATACAAGCTGAGCACGGCAAAGCATCACCTCGAGTAACCATTCCCCTCGGTCGACCCCCTCGCACTGACAAACCACCTCGCTCACCTCATCACTGGCGTGATCCCTGGTCGGAGATTGAGGAGGGGAATGTACCGCCAACACCTCCGCGAGACTCACTCGGACCAATCTCTCGCCCAGATCCGTACGCCCGCTTCATCGAAGGCACCACGACCCCGCTCACGATCATTCCCGATCGCGAATTTCTCGCCCTGTATCTCTCAACGCTACCTGCAGAAGGGGAAGCAACGGCAGAAGCAGAAGCAGAGGAGGAGAACAACGAAGCAGAACCAGGAGAAGAGGAAGAACCCCCACTCCAGATCCCAGAACTCACAGCGGAGGAGGCAGCAGAGCACCACACCCGCTACAAGCGTACCTCCGGCATCCGTGCCGAGGATGACCTCTGGCACCAGCGGATGGGACACCCCTCGCGCCAGACACTCGCCAATTGTCTCCGTGCAAAAGTTTTTCCGCCAGGAACACTGCTGCGCCCCGACGGGACGGAGTTACAACACACCACCCCCCATCCAACCACTTGCACTGTCTGCCCCACAGCCGCACTCTCTCACACTGCCTACCCCTCTCAGGAGCCAAGCACCAACCGCTACAAGAAATTGGAAAAGGTGTACAGCGATTTCATCGTACTCACCTGCGACGGACTCAACGGCAAAAAGTACACGCTGACCTTCATTGACGCCTACTCACGCCACGTCTGGGTTGCCAATGTTGACGCCCGCTCCAAAGCCCCGGAGGTGTTCCGTATCTTCCTCGCGCACGCGCAGCGACAGTCGGGAAGGAAACTGAAGATCTGGCAGAGCGATGGGGCAAAAGAATTTCGCAGCCATGAACTGGAGAGCGTGCTCACCGAGAAGGGGATTAAGCATGAGATTTCCCTTCCCTATGCTCACCAGCAGCAAGGCGTTGCTGAGCGGGTCAATCGGACCCTCATGACTAAAGTTCGCGCCATCATGAACCAGTCCGGCCTGCCAAAGAAATTTTGGCCGTACGCCATGAATCACGCGGTGCGCCTGCACAACCTCCTCTCCACCACCGCCAACAGGGATAACCTGTCACCCCACATGAAGTGGACCGGTTCAAGGGGAGATCCCTCCATGCTGAGGGTTTGGAGGTGCATGGTGCAGTATCGGCCCACTTCGGCCACAATCAGCAAGTTCGTTCATCGTGCGCGCTGGGGAGTTCATCTAGGACTTAGCCACAAGCACAAAGGATGGCTCATCCTTGACATGGACAACCAGAAAATTGTCCCTGCACGTGACATTCTTTTCTACGAACGGCTCACCTTGACGCACTGGATCGAGGACGAACACCGTTACCAGGCACGCGGCTACGCCAACAGCGGCCGCAGCTTCGCGACCCCTGAAGATGAAGCAGCAGCAGCAGTTCTGGACCGCGACGACACCGACGAACATCCCAGCATCCCCCCTCGCCCGCGCGACGACGATGACGATGACGATGACAGCGATGACGACCCCGCGCCAGGACCATCACGGCGCCAGACAAAACCAAGCACCGCACCACCCGGCTACGAGAGCGGAGATGACGACGTGATTGAAGTCCCCACCAACGCAGACACCACCAACGTGTCAGGCCTTCAACTTCCTGGCCTGCACACGTCCGTCTCTACTCTCGCGCGGACCGTGGAACCTAAGAACCCTCGCCAGGCCCTAACCGGCCCTCACGCCAAGGAGTGGCGTGTTGCGATGGATGCGGAACTGAAAGCACTGGAATCGCGCGACACTTGGGTCCTAGTCGATCGTGCAGCAGTGAAGGGGAGGAGGGTGCTCAGCGGAAAATGGGTTTTTCGTCTCAAAACTAACGCTGACGGCACTATTGAGCGCTTCAAAGCACGTTGGGTCGTACGCGGGTACGACCAGCGTCACGGCATAGACTTTGATCAGACCTTCGCTCCCGTCAGTCGCCATACCTCGGTCCGGATTCTACTCGCTATTGCCGCCGCAAAGCACCTACCACTGCGACAGATGGACGTGAAGAACGCGTTTCTATACGCGTTGGTGGATGCCACCATCTTTGTGGAGCAGCCGCACACCTACGGAGAAGGCGACCCCAGGGTCTGTCAACTAAAGAAGTCACTCTACGAGATCAAACAGGCGCCACGACTCTGGCAGCAGCATCTGCACAAAATCCTCCTCGAAATCGGCTTCAAACAACTCCCACACGACCCGGGAATGTATCGCCTCCACTTCAGCGGCGATTACATCCTCCTTACAGTCTACGTAGACGACCTGCTGTATACGGGGACCTGCAACAAACTCCTCGACCAGTTTCAGGAGAACCTGGCGCAGCGCGTGGACATCACCATCAACCTCGAAGTAAAACAGTTTTTGGGGTTAAACATCACTTACGCGCCAGAAGAAATTCATCTGTCAGCCTCCAAGTACGCAGAGCAGCTGGGGGAACGCTTCAACATCTCACCAGCACCACTCTCAACTCCCTACCGCAGCCCGAGCACCAACTACAAACCAGACAACAAACCTCTGTTGCCCGCAGGACTCCAAATGTACCAGCAGAAGTTGGGGTGCCTGCTATTCGCCTCTGTCACCTGCCGACCCGACCTTTCGTACATCGCTAGCCAACTGGCGCAGTACTCTCGCAGGCCAGTAGCTGAGAACCAGCTGGACCTGGAGCGCGCCCTGCAATACTTCATCTCCACACCTGACATTGGACTCTCCTACTCCACGCTGACGACGACCTCCTTCAACCTCAACGGCCACGTGGACGCAGACCACGCAGCTGATCCTGCAAATCGACGGTCCCGAACCGGCTTCGTCTTTCGCCTGGAACCAACTGGACCAATCTCCTGGAACTCCCAGAAGCAGGAGCTGGTTGCCCTGTCATCGGCTGAAGCAGAATACATCGCCGCGACAGCAGTAGTTCGCGAAGGTCTGTACCTGCAGGAGCTACTGCAGGAGGCGAAAATTCCAACCTCGCCTACCTTTCGCCTTCACTGCGACAACCAGAGTGCCATTAAAATCGCAAACAAGCCAGGATTCGTGAACCGCATGAAGCACATCGCGCTTCGGTACTTTTTTCGTCAAGGACGAAATCGACCAAGGCAAAGTGGACCTCGCTTACTGCTCGACCACTGAGATGGCAGCAGACTTCCTCACCAAACGTCTGCCACGTCAGCAGTATAAGCACTGCTCTGATCTCACTGGAGTAATCAAGCGAGTCAGCTCCACCCGCGCCCAGGAATGAAGGGGAGTGTTACGATGTGAAGTTTTATGAGAAGGCATTCCTGTATGCTGCAGAAGCCGACTCTACCGAGTACGAAGTTGAAGAGTCAGAAGAGCCGAAGCGACACAGCAACCGTCAGACCAAGACCGATGCAGGCAGAAACATTTGAAGTGAAAAGAGCGGGAACAGGTTTTGAACGGGTTCCCACGCCGCACGGTTTAGAATTCGGTTGTAATAAGGGAATGTACCCCTTAGAGTACATGGCTATTCTAGGTCCTTTCGTATTCCCTTGTAGTCTTATATAAACTCGATGTATGCATGCTATTATCAACTCAGTCATTTACATTCACTCTGACCTGAGATTCAAACTTCCGCTGCAATACTACTCCGCGATCAACCCTGAGCGATCCTTTGCTAAGTCCCACTTGGGATTGTAACAGGGTTCAAAAGTATTAATAGCGTTCACTCAGATACATTATAATCGTCTTTACAGCTCCTCTCTCTTTTTCATTAAATATGATCACCTTAGGCAGTGGACTATCTCTGGTCTGGTGGTGCTTTAATTTCACTATTCTGTCAGCTAATGGAGCATTTCAAACATCCTTGCCACTTTTGTGCGACACTTTAGTGGTGGTGACACTGATGAACAAACGTACAGTTGCTTTTGTCCCCCCATTTCGTTGGCAGTGCATGGAGAGGGAGGGCCGTGCCGTGCCCACACTTCACTTCACCTCGTCCCCCTCGTAGACGACAAAACGAGGCGGTACCCCTGGTTAAAATTGGCTATCTGATTGGCAGCGACGAAAGTTCGCCAATCCGCGTGAAATGCGAAACCACGCTACAGTACGTGGCGGTCCTAGGGAAACACCACTGTACACCCACATCAAGCGAGTGACGCCGCAGTCGCAGCATGTTCCGAAAAAGTGTAGGGAACCCGAACGGAGACCGTTGGGTTTGGTCTGGTTCAGGCGTGGAAGTCCGAAACTGCATTCGTCGATTACATTTGGAAAGTCGGTAATTGTGTTACACTGACGGTATTCTTCGACAGTTCGCTTCTGGTCGCATAAACTGGCGGTCATACTCACGGTGAATGGTCGCGATGCAGATATAGTGAGATTGGGTCGTCAATTTTCCGCTGCGACAAGACTTGTCTGTAACGGCGAGCTAAGTTCAGCGAGCTGCATGACAGACGCCTAGGTTTTGACACGGAGGAGCGGGTCAATGCCACGGCAAATACAATGTCGGTCGGAGTCGGGCATATGGAATGGAATGGACATTACCTGAGCATTGTGAGGCTTTTGCAAAGGCTGCATTAGGTCAACCCATCATGCCCAGACACCTCCTAAAGTAGCTAACTATGGCTCATGCCTCTTTTAGAGTCCTCCTGCGGTGTACATTTGAAGGCATTCGATGGGCTGATATCGGTCTTGAAAGCTTGTATCATTAGTTAAAGTTAACATGACCTCGACATACTACCGCTCAGGTTAACTTATTCGACATATTAGTTGTGGTTGAGGCCGTGTCTGTGGTGTCGTCTGGGTTGCGCGTGATATTGGAAGCTCGGTGGTAGCTGGGATGTCACCGACGGCGTCGGAAGTGACGTGGGTGGTGGAGGTGACCAAGTACAAGGACGTCAGCAAGGATGCGCTCTCCGTCGCCATGGCGGATCTCGAAACTGAGGTGTCGCGGGGAAACGGACCTATCTCTATCCTTCTCGTCCACGTCATGACTGAGGTTCCTTGTTCCCGTGAGTGTAAACTGATTCTGACTGCTTCAGGCTAGGCCCGTTAAGATTCACGTTCATCGCATACCAATACTGTTAGATACCCTAAACTAGCCTTGGATCGTTCGCCTCTCGAAGCAGGCAGCGCATAGGTTCGCCTCTGCTTGCGATTCCCTCGTTTATTCGCGGTGTTGCTCGTCCGGCCTTCCGAATAAGTCTTTTGCTTGCCTTCTTCGTTCGCGACGTCGCTTTGTGATTTACAAGGTCGTGATTGGTCAATCGTGAGATGGTGTTTAAAGGATCTATGAAGTCCAACTCAAGGTGCCGCTTATTCGGGGCCGCGAGTTCCTTGGCGCATTCCCCGTAGTTTGTGTGTGGGCTCATTGCGGACATGATTAGATGCCACCTCCGCGTGTCTAGCACTACTGCACCGCCTCTGCGCGCGTGTTGCGGCCCTTTCATCCCAAATCGACCTCCCATTCTCCCTCGCCCTGGTAACCCCTTCCCCCCTTCTTCCCCCCACACCCCTCCTTTCCTCTCCCGCCTCGTCGGCGGCGTGCATGGCGGCAGGCGGAATGGACCTGCCGGCGAGCGAGGTGGATCCGAAGACCGCGCTGGAGCACGGCCGCCGCCTCGTCGAGGTCATGCTGCGCCCGCTGCTCGCGCACGCCAAAACCAAAAAGGTGCTCGCGCACGCCAAAACCAAAAAGGTGCTCGCGCCTGGCCAGGCTACACACGCGCTACCGCAACCCACTTCATGCCGCTCTGACGAAGGCAGAATGAATTACGCGCTAACGGGCTCGCGTGAAATATCTTATGGCAAGTAAAACAATAGCGAATATGCGATTGACGCGTGCATGCTTGGTTGCAGTAAAAGGTGGTCTCACAAGTCCACTCGCGTCCATCACAAGCTCGCCTTTCTTCCCTCCTCTCTGTCTGCCCTCTCCCGCGCGCGCGCCAGGTGCACTGCAACGCGTCCATTGAGCGCAACGACCGCCGCGAGCTGGGGCTCTGCGCTGCTGCGCGCCGAGCCAAGGCGCAGCGCGTCTACGTGGGCCTCCGCAAGTGAGCACGCGCTGCCCCTCCGCACCCCCGCTCTTGCTGCTTGTGCCGTGTGTGTTGCTCCCTGCCCGCACCGTTGTCAGAACTACTCTCACTGCCATCCCTCTTGCCCCCCGCCTGCCTTTGCATCTCACTTCTTGCCCTGTCTGGTGCTTTCTGGGCTGGTGTGGTTCGGTGCGGTGCAATCCTGTGGCGGTACCAGGAAGCTGCTGGGGTGGTCGTCATCAGCATCAGCGCACTACGAGGCGGGCCTGCCGCCGTCATGTCTGCTCGTGGTGGTGCAGGGCGCCAAGCAGCACCAGTCCCTACCGGGCTCGGGGGGAGAAGCGCCCTTCTTCGTCGTCTCCCCCAACGCCTTCATCTTCTGTCGCTACAACGCTCCCACCGCCCCCGCCTCCGCCGCCCCCGCCTCCCCCGGCCCGCTGTCAGGCTCCGCCACGCCCGACTCAGAGCACCTCTCCGCGCAGCACCCCAATCCGCACCTCTCCGCGCAGCACCCCAATCCGCACCTCAACGCGCCCTCGCTCCACGCGCCTGGGGCGCTCGCCATGGCCGTGGCAGCAGGCGTGGGCACGAGAGCAGGCGCGGCGGGGGGCGCAGGGCACCGCGCGTCGCCGTCGCTGTCGCACGTGGAGGGCGCGCACGCGCTGCTGTCGCCGCAGCACGCGCGCTCGTCCAGCGCGCGCTTCTCCCCCGCGCAGGTCGCGCTGAATTCCGCCTCGCCTGCAGGGCCGGGCGCCGTGCGGGAAGCATGGTCGCAGGGCGCGTCGCCCATGGTGCCGCGCGGGGGCGTGGGAGGGGCGGGGCTGGGGCCGGGGATGGGAGCAGGGGCAGGCGGAGGCGCCAGGTTAGCAGGGACGGGCAGCCACAGCGGCGGCTTCCCTGCGGTTGCCTTGGCGGGTGCAGGGGGCGCTGCAGCGGGCGCGTGTGATGCGCCGCCACCCCTGTGCGCGGGGGAGTGCGGGGGAGGTGGGGCGTGTGTGGGGAACGGGGGGAAGGCGGTGGGCGTAGGGGCGGAGCAGCTGCGGCCGGGGGTGATTTACTCGTCTGTGGAGGGCAGCAGTGAGGCGCCGGGCAGGCCGGGCAGCAGCAGCGGCAGCACGGCGTTCCCAGGGGAGCTCAACGCCTCCGCGCTCTCCTCTCTGCAGGTGCTCCCCCTCTCCCCGCTATCAGCGCCCTCTCTGCTTACGTGCACTCCTCTCCATCCCATGCTGTGTGGCCGCAGCATGCCCCTGGGCGTCTTGTTCCTCGATGCTGCCGCCGCTCTCCCCTCACATCAAACCCGCCCTGCTCACCTGCGCTTCCCCCCTGCCTCCGCGCCCCTCAACTCTCCCGCTCTTTCTTCTCTTTTCCGTGGGAATGTGGCATGTGGTGTGTGGGGCATGGCATGGCGTGGCATGGCATGGCATGGCATGGCATGGCATGGCATGGAACGGGATGCACAGGAGGAGCGGCTGGCGAGTCTGAGGGCCATGATGCCGGTGGACGCGTCCACGGGGCACACGTCACTCGCCGCCTCCGCCCTCTCCTCCATGGAGGTCCCCACCCTCTCTGCTGACTACTGCCCCCCTGGTGTCGCAGCAGCAGCCATTGCGGAGACTCTCGCCATGCACCACCACCACCACGCGCACCACCACCACGCGCACCACCACTCACTGCTGCCCTCGCCCGCCCCGCCCCACCTGTCATCCGCCTCCCCCATGGACGAGAACGACTACCACCGCAGCCTCTCCGACGCCGCCCGCCACAAGCCGGGCCTGCCGCCCACACGCGTGACGGGCAGGGACGCAGCGGGCGGCGTGGTGGGCAAGGGGGGGCTGCGGGAGGCAGTGCGGTCGAGCAGCGCCAGCGCCATGCCGCTGGACGCCGCTGCTGCCGCCGCCGCCGCTGCCGCGCTCGCCTTCTCCACGGCGTCCCCCGCGTCCACCGGCCGCCTCGCCCCGCCCCTCCACGCCGGCCGCGACAGCCCCGGCGGGCGTCGCGTGGCCTTCTGCGTGGCGCCGCACGGCGCTGCTGCTGCGGGCCGGCAAGGGGGTGAGGGGGGCGCGCACATGGGGGAGGCCGGGGCGGGCAGGGAGATGGAGGGCAACGGCGGTGCAGGTGGGGGCGGGGGGGGCATGCGGTCGCTGCTGGCGGACGAGCTGGCGCTGCTGGATGAGGAGGAGGAGGCGAGTGGGGGCGGGGAGGAGCGGTGGGAGGGCAAAGCCGTGAGCAGCAATAGAGCAGCAGAGGCGGGTGCCGACGCACGTGGCAATGACAACAAGTCAGAGGTCGGTCATGTCACCGCACCCGTACACTCAACACTCCATGTCACCTCGCTTTTTGTACTTCTGTATCGTTTTCCAGTTTCATTGCCACTCCCTGCGAATCTTCTTACCTCTCCCATTTGCCCCACCGCGCCCCAACCCCTCGCTCTCTCTCCCTGTATGGCCGCTGCTGCGAGCAGCGCTTCCTCTCACAGCAGCTGCGCGCGCTGCAGCTCAGTGGCCCGCAGACCATGCTCTCCGCCGACTCACCCGCCTCCACACTGCTGCCCGCAGATGCAGCACAGGCGGGGGCGGCAGGGGCGGAGGCAGGGAGGATGGTGGCGGAGATGGAGCCGCCAGGGCAGGTGGGGGGCGCGCCCAGCAACCGCTTCTCCTCGCGCTTCTCCTCCTCCCGCCCCGCCGCCTCCGCCGCCGTCTCCTCACTGCTGCCGCCCGTCGCGGGCGGCTTCAGCACGGGCGGCGGGAGCAGTGCACAGAACGCCGGGGCGCACAGCATGGGGCAGATCGACCTGCGCGGACTGGGGGCGGGCGGCGACGGGTTCGACTGCCGGCTCTTCACACCCAAGCAGCTGGAGAAGGCCACTCGCGGGTACGCGCGGGAGAACCTGCTGGGGCGCGGGTCGTTTGGGTACGTGTTCAAGGGCGAGATGCTGGGGTGCAAGGTGGCGGTGAAGCGGCTGGAGGGGCAGGGGTGGCAGGGGCCGGACGAGTTCCGCATGGAGGTGGAGGTGCTGTCGCGCATGCGCCACCCCAACATCGTGCTGCTCATGGGCTGCTGCGTCGAGGAAATGGCCCTCATCTACGAGTTCCTCTCGGGCGGCACGCTACAGGACAAGCTCGGCCCGCTAAAGACGCCCGACGCCGTGCCTCTGTCGTGGGTGGACCGGCTGAGAATCTTCTCGGAGATCTCGTCAGCGCTGCTGTACCTGCACCAGAACGAGCCGCCCATCGTGCACCGCGACTTAAAGCCCGACAACATCCTGCTGGACGGGCACATGATGAGCAAGATCGGGGACGTGGGGCTGGCGCGCCTGCTGTGCGCCGATGACGTCATGACCATGAAGGTGCGCGGCACGGCGGGGTACATCGACCCCGAGGAGGTGGAGACGTGTGAGATCAGCGTGCTGTCTGACATCTACGCGCTGGGGCTCATCCTGCTGCAGCTGCTCACGGGGCAGCGCAGCGTCAAGGCCGTTCACCGCATGCTCGCCGACTGCACCGCCCGCCCCGCCAGGCCCGGGCAGCACCGGGCGGCGGCGGGTGCGGAGATGGTGCTGCAGTACCTGGACACGGCGGCGGGCGACTGGCGGCTGGACCTGGCGGAGCAGGTGGCGGCGCTGGCGCTACGCTGCGCTGAGCGGCGGAGGGAGAACCGGCCGGACCTGGCGGAGGAGATCCACCCCACACTCGTGCGCATGGCGGCCGAGGCCAGCGCGGAGGAGCGCCGGCGCAAGAAGCGTATCGACTCGCAATTCATCTGCCCCATCTCCAAGGTGCGACTCGCAGTTCATCTGCCCCATCTCCACGGTGCGTATCCCCTGGGGCACAGGTTTGTTGGATTGGTATTCGCACGGTTCATCTGCCGTTCAGTGGCAGGCAAAGCGTGTGCGTGTGCGTGGCTTGTCTTTTGTTCCAATGTCAATGTCCTTGTCTCTCTCCATGTGCTCTGGGCATGGTTGGGTGTGTGCATGGGTGTTTGTGTGGGCATGGGTGTTTGTGTGGGCATGGGTGTTTGTGTGGGCATGGGTGTGTGGTAGTACGGATGTATGCGTTATGCGGGCATGCGGGCGTGCGTGCATGGGCATGGGCATGGGCATGGGCATGGTCATGGGCATGGGCATGGGCATGGGCATGGGCATGGGCATGGGCATGGAGCAGGAGATAATGAAGGACCCGGTTGTGGCGGCGGACGGCTTCACATACGAGCGGCAGCACATCACCACGTGGATGGGCTCCTCATCGCTCTCCCCCGCCACAGGGCAGCCCCTCCCCCACACGTGCCTGACGCCCAACAACGTGCTCAAGAACCTCATCGCCTCGCACAAGTTCCACTGACGACCACCCATCACCTGCACTAGTGCCCCTGACGTTCCACTGTTGCCCCCCCACAAGTTTCTCTCACGCTCCACAAGTTGCGTCAGTGCGCTCCCTGCTGTGCCGCACCGTGGGGCAGCGGAGAGAGCGACACAAGCCAGGAGCATGGGACATGGAAGCATCTGGTCTCTCAAGGCAGCTAGTTGTTCCTCTGCCATCTCGTGCGGTCAAAGTGCTGCCATCAATCGTGATCATTGCGGAATCTCTCCCCAGAGTGAATAAGCACATGGCAGCTCGCATCTGCCTCCATTTTATCTGCTAGGTCAAGCTTTCCTCCAACATCAAGCACGCTAGTGAAGCTGTAGTTAACTGCATGCGCTGCTCTCCCAGCCAGTGGTTGCTCAATGCTCATAGAATGTTGCAATGATGTGACAGTCAGTCCGGACTGGACTGGTTACAGTGTTGGGTACTAGGAAGGAATGTGATGCCCATGTAAATGAACCTCATCTCCGATGGCGGACACAAGACAATCTCAGAATGGAGGGTTCATTCAATCCAAATACGGTAGGGTAACTCTGTTTAGCGATTTCTAGAGCCTGGAAACAGCTACATAAGTTGAACTGACTGAGCACATGCTACCAGGAACCAATCGCCAGGAACACTGGTGTACACCTGGGTAGTCGGTATAAAGAATGCCAACTTGCAGCCGCCACTGGTCTGTGCTGCATCACAAATCCAGTGAGGTAGCTGGCTCCAGCTTTGGTAATCCCTGATATCTTACAACAGTGGAGCAAAGGCAAGCATCCAAAAGACCTGGGAGAACTTCCATTGAGGGTTGGTGAAGCTTATTGCCTGCGCGAAAATGAAATAATAACATTGCACACCAAGATATGCAACAGAAAAGCCCCCCCCCCCCCCCTCCCCCCCTCCACCCCAGCCCTGGCCAAACTGGTGTCCATCCATCACATTTTGATTGTGAAAAAGGTATGGTACTCCTCAATTGGTTTTGCATCTCTTTATGAGAATCAATACGTAGTACGATATACCCTCAAGTTCACAAGAATGTCTCTTGCGTAACTGGAGATGTTCGCACTGCAGTAACCCAAGGAGAGGATGAACCCGCATCACAAGCCACAAGTGCAACAGCCTGGGTCAACAGTCTGAAGAATTCACCCTCTACTGCTATAAATATCATGACTGGGATGGGAAACCCATAGCCTATAAATCTTTAGCGCACAGCAATCCTACGACTCAAACCCTACAAACTAAGCAGCGGCTCTTCTACAGCAGCCAGAGTGCTGCGGCTGCCTTTGGCATGCAGGAAGGTGAAGGAGTGCTGGTCAGAGGCGCTACATTGTGCAGCACCAGTTGAGGCGCTGCATTGTGCAGCACCAGTTGAGGCGCTGCATTGTGCAGCACCAGTTGAGGCGCTGCATTGTGCAGCACCAGTTGAGGCGCTGCATTGTGCAGCACCAGTTGAGGCGCTGCATTGTGCAGCACCAGTTGAGGCGCTGCATTGTGCAGCACCAGTTGAGGCGCTGCATTGTGCAGCACCAGTTGAGGCGCACAGTGGACTCGCCGTCTCCAACACCATCGCATGCCAGTGGCCTCGCCACACACGGACACGCCTTGTCTTCCCCACACCGCCCTGCTGCACCCCACCTGCACCCTGCTGCATCAGCGTGCTGCCACAGCCTGCTCGCACCCATCCATCCCCACACCGCCATGGCCCACACTCGTGCTCCCAATCCCATCCCTGCTGCCCCTGCCTGCCATGCGCCTGTGCAAGCCCACGCCTTATTCCATCAACCATCACGCCGCACTGCACACGCCCTCAGCCCTAAGCCATGCCCCATGGCCCACCCCGTGCCTGCTGCTCTGCTGCCTGCCACACCACCTTCACCTGCAGATGCGCTGCTGCCCCGCTGAGCGGCTCCCAACCCCCCGTGCATGCAGGGACGGCAGCGGAAAGATGCTGCAGAGGGCAGGGGGCGGCAGGGGGCGGCAGGGGGGGCTGCCGGCAGTCTCGAGAGGAGGCTGCCTCGCACTCCGCGCTCAGTGGGTTAGCTTGCTCGCCTGCCGCTCCTGCACCCGCACGCGCAATCCTACCCTGCTACACGCGCTATTGGGGTGGCTGGGTGGCTGGCGGCTGGATGGCTAGATGGCAGGATGGATGGATGTGCGGATGATGGATGGGTGGTGCATGCACAGCGCGTCCACGACTTGCCCCACAACGGCTACGCTGGAAAAACAAAATGCTCAGCGCCTCGTGCGCCGTTCACTGGACCAGCAGCCCCAAAGCGGCAGCCGGCTGCAAAATAAATAGAATGGAGTGGCAGTGCGTACCCCGCCCTCTTCCCGTGACGCGCGCGCGGCTATCAGTCCTTGGCGCACGAGCGTCTCTGCCACGCGAACCCGTGCTCCTCCAGGCTCTCGCCCACGTCGTGGGGCAGCGCGCGCATCCAGTCCCAGTCCGCGGCGACCTTGCGCAGCACGCGCAGCTTGGAGTCGAGTCCGAAGCAGCACGTGGCGTGCACCGTCACCAGCTCCGCCATCCGCGCGCCCATCTCGCAGAACCCGCCGAAGTGCGCCGTCGGCAGGTAGCGCACGGTGAGCGGCGTGGCGGTGCGCGTGAAGGGGTTGGCCTCGGGGCGGATCCAGTCGAAGATCTGCTGAATGCGGTGCTTCGGTAGCCTGCCGCGCACACGCCACGGGGAGGGGGAGGGAGGAGCGGGAGAGGGGGTGGGAGGAGGGAACGGAGAAATAGTTCGAGTGGGAGTGAGAGAGAGAGAGAGCGGGGCCAAGCAGAGCTGGTGTGGGAGAAGCGGGCGCGGAAGCAGCGGGCAGTAGGAGGCAGGCGCGAGAGATGGCAGCATTGCGGCAGGGAGGGGCGAGTGGGGCGAGGGCGCTCACCGCTTGTGCCAGGCGATCCAGTCGTCGAAGAACTTGAGCATGCGCGTGTTGCTGCGCGCCGCGTAGAAGCCGCCGTTGCCCATCACCTTGCGCGAGTCGGCGTTCCACCAGTCGACGCTCATGTGCATGTCCTCGGGCGCGGCGAGCAGCAGCTGCGGCAGCGGGTTGCGCAGCCAGAGGATGTCGTTGTCCGTGAACACCACGTCGTAGCCCAGCGCCAGCATGCTGCGCACCACGTGCACCTTGCGCCACACGAGGTGGATGTACGCGGGCGTCATGAAGTGCTTCTGGTCGCCGCTGAAGTCCTCCTTCTCCTCCGCGTCGTCCTGCCAGTCGAAGTAGCAGTGCAGCCCCAGCGAGCAGCACTCGTCGAAGCTCGCGTCGTCGTACGCCACCACCACCAGCCGATCCACCAGCCGGTTCAGCCCCCCCTCCGCTTCCGCCTCCCCCTCCGCGCGCGCCTGCTGTTCGACGAGGCGGAGGCGGTCGAGGAAGAAGCGCATCATGGGCGCCCACGCCTCCGACAGCGCCGTCACGATCACCGTGCGCGACAGCGACGACGCCGCCGACGCCTCCACCACGTTGTCGGCGGCCAACTTGCCGTCGCCGCCATCCTCTGCCGCCGCCGTCATCTGCTGCGGCGCCTCGGGGAACGGGCGATCCAGGTCCAGCAGCCCGCTGGGCTCGCCGTACTCCTCTTCCAACGCCGCCGCTAGCGCCGCCGCTGCTGACGGATCGCCGCCGGCGGCCGTTAATGCTCCGTCAAGCACCTCCTTGAGCGTTCTGACGACGACGGACGCGCGGGGATGGGGAGAGGGGCGGGACAATGGAGCAGATTGGGAAAAGAGGAGAGGCGCAGGGGAAGCAGCACGAGAGCCGCGCGAACCGAAAAGCGCGTCACAATCGACAAGGCTGCGGCGATAAAAAAGTGACGGAACAGCAACACGCTCCACAACATAAAAACGCGCTAACAGCTTGCTCGAATCAATCTCAAGTGATTCACCACTTGAAACACGGACAGAGAAACGTGCGCGCAAGAGACGTCGTAGCGACATACCTGCATTTCGAACAGGTCGCGGATGGTTTACTGGTGAGTGGTTGGTCGGAAGGCGGTTGTTTGGCGGACGAGGCGGTAAGCGACGCGAGGAACGACTGTGGTGGTCTGTCGGTCTCGTCGAGAGCTCGTCGCGGCACGGATGTCGACGACGACGGCCACTCCAATTCCGGTCTTATCGCACCATTGCTGCGGCCAAGGTCTCGTATTTGGTTGCCGCACACGCCCTCGCGAGTCTGATCCAACATCACTCTCACGGCCCTCGCTGGAACCGCCGCTACTCTCGGCTTCGCAGGGTGCAACCGGACGGCGACGAGCCCGAGCGACGCGACGGTGAAGACGGTTAGCAGCAGCCACAGGCGCGGCAGTCCAAAGTTCCGCATGGTGAGGCGCGGCCAGGAGGCGGTGGGGCTGAGAGAGATGGCGCAGAGCACGGACGCATACGGCGACGCGAAGTGCGACGACGCGGTGAGCGGGTGGGCGCTGCTGTGTCTGGAGGAGTGGAGCGAGTGCGGCTGCGACCTAAGAAATGGCGGGCTTAGCGTGGACGAACATCTACTGTCGCGCTCCAACGGCCCTGGCTCTGTGCACGCTCCCATCTAGGGACCGGCAGATTGTCGATGTGAAGCCCTGCTGCCCGTCGTACTATGAGTCAAACCTAAACCACGCAGATGCACCTAGTAGAGAAGTCGTGTGCTTTATTTTTTTTTAGCTTCGCTAACGTCGGAGGCCCCTAGGCTGAAACTTAATAACTGAAAGTTATCCTGAGAAGCAAGCAGAGCGTCAAGCACGGCAGGATTGATGCTGGCATGCAACTTATCAGGATGGTTGGTAATGTGGGAGCAGAGTTGACTCATCATGGGCAAAGCTTCAAGAAACTCACGACAACCTCCGCACAGCTCTCCGCTTCCCTCCAGAATCAACTCGTCCTTCCTCACCGCCTCTTCTTGCTCTTGTTTGTTACATCCCGTTTAGGTTTCGGTGCCTTCGCACGGCTGTGAGTGACCACCACCACTGGCCAAGCCCGAGGAGGGCCACACAACACCACCCGCCGGAACGCAAATTGTGATCCGCTTCCTTGCCTCCGCCCACTGCCACAAACATGCTTGGCGCGCTGTTCCGCCTGGGTGCTGCTAATGGTCCGTGGATGCCTCGGCCCATCCATCCTTCTCGCGCCATACTTGTCCCCCCTAGAGCTGAGGGCGGTGAGCCGGTGGTGGTGGGCGAGGCACTGAAGTGGTCGCCGAACTAGGCTTCAGATCAAATATGCCAAGATGTAGGTTCGGCCAACGCTAGGGCTGCAAACGGACAATGAGCCTGGAAGAGGCACGGTGACACTGTGTACAAGCACGTACGTTGTTGAAGCGCCAAGGCGCGGGAATACCCGCAACGGTTTGCGTTGTGGGGCCCCGACGCGGCTTGCCTTATAAACGCCTGAACCTGCCTGATTCTTATGGAACTACCCCTTCAAATTCAGTCATGCATTATAAATCCTCTGCATGTTCAAAACAGTTTGATGTGTAGGAAAGTTTCGAAGGTTGCAAAAGGCACCTCGACACGTCAGAGGCACTTCACATACCATTTACGCCCGGCTTGGACATACAGTGGGGGCGTAGAATGACTCTACCCGTGTTTACGGACCAGAAGTACTGATGTTTATCTAAGGCCCTTTTGGCTTCGGCGGTTGAGGACCATTCTTGCCTATGCCATGCTTGCTGGATACGACCATAACAGAACGTCAAAACTCTGAACCAAAACAGGGCAAAATAAAAACAGAAGTACTCTGTATTAAGGACTACTTTGTTCGTGCTGGGTGAGGGCTGGGTGAGGGCAGTTGCCCAACCACCATAACTCCCTGCCCTGCTAGGCCTAGGGCTTTTCTATCACGACCAAACAGCTTCAGATTATGTGAACCACAGCGAGCACATAACACATGAGCACATCTTGTTATTGAATCGAGGACTGTGTCTTTTCCAAGGTCTCTAAACACTTGATGAATGAGGAACATTTAGTCTAATGTATCTCATATACCCCATGATTACCTATATTTGTTATTCAATACTTGGTCATGAAATAACGTATATTTTGGTTCTCAAATTACATAACTCAGTTTTATGTGGTGTATATGTTGAAATTTTTGGGCCTGGTTATCACGTTATTCTGCATGTAGCGAATCTAGCTATGCAAGTAAATAAGATAACTAACGATGGAGTGTGGTGGATCCCTGCTATGGAGATTCTTCCTAGTGCAGTACGATGTCCTACTGACAGAATGAAGAGTTTGTGTCCAGCGAGGCGTGTCCATGCCACCCCTGCCCGAGGTCAGCGAATAGGAGCGGTTGGAGCTTTAGCCGGGCAGCTAAGGTGGCACAAGTGTTGGACGAAAGGGCACCAGGTTCTGGGAAGTCACGCATTAAACTTATGTTTCGCTGCCCGTGAATCCATCACTCGTTCCTGAATCCTTCCCTCCAAATATTTCCCGCCTGTCCCTCCTACCCGACGGGCCCCATCACCGTCTGACAATAAAGATCACAATTCATGTCCGCGAGAATTTATTCACCCTGCCATCTCGAATCTCGACTAACGTCGGGATCTCCGCTCCACCACTGCTAAGTACACCTAGTCTCATCCTTCCCGGGTGAATCCTTCAGCGATACGTCCTTAGGAAAGCCTGCTCCATTTCCCACTCTAGACAGACCCGGAGCCGCTACATGGCTCCTAATGCCATGTCGCAACCATCGCAGCCCTCATCAGCCGGAAGAGCTTCCGGCAAGCAGGCGGTTCCGTTCAAGCCGGATCTGACGAAGCCGTTGGTGTTCCAGGTGGGGTATCTGGGGGAGCACTATGACGACTGGGTGCACCAACCCATCATCAGCAGAACGGGACCGCGCCTCTTCGGGCCGGACTGGATGGAGTTCTTCACGCAGACGCACTGGTGGATGATCCCGCTCGTCTGGCTTCCCGTCATCGCCTTCGCCGAGTACCGCGCCGCGCTCGCCGGCACGCCCAAGGTTCTCGTCGCGCCGTTTTTCGCGCTGGGGCTGGTGGTGTGGACGCTGATGGAGTATAGTCTACACCGCTTCTTATTCCACTACCGCACGACGGGGTATTGGACCAACACGCTGCACTACCTGCTGCACGGCTGCCACCACAAGCACCCGCAGGACCGCTTTCGCCTCGTCATGCCGCCTGTGCTCTTCGCGACGCTGTCCACCGTGGTGGCGATACCGTTCTTCGTGGTGTTCCCGGGGTTCCTGGTGTGGCCCGTGTACGCGGGAGCCATCTTCGGGTACATTTGCTACGACATGACGCACTACTTCGTGCACTTCGGCGTGCCGCTCGAGCTCGAGTGGATCCGCTTCCTGCGGCGCTACCACATGGCGCACCACTTCAAGGAGTACAACGCGGGATTCGGCATCACCAACTCCTTCTGGGACAAGGTCTTCGGCACCTACCCCGCCGACGACCCCAAGAAGGCGGACGCGGCCAGCAAGGCGGACGCGGCGGGCAAGGCAATGTAGGGTTGCTGTCGCCCTGTAGATTGATTCACAGTTCGGGTGCTACGGTAGGTTTTCTATTTCTAGGCTGAATTAGTGACTCCCCGAGTGCCTATGGTTCAGAGATGAGCATAGGATGAACATAAATGGCTGTTGCTAGCCTGTACTCTACATGATCTATGCGTGTGTCGTTTGTCCCAGGCCTGCCGGACATTGTTGATGCTCTGCTCTGATCCTCTCCACACCCAGCTGGTACGGGGCATGGCCCTTACAGAGGCTCCCATGTTCCCACACCATAAGGATACTACGCTTTTAGGCTCTGTGCTGGTAGTCCTGAATTTGATGAGAATTAGAGTGCTGTGCATTGCTCTACTAGGCATCTTTCAAAGCTGGATCATGTCTCTTCCAAAGTGGGCATTTTCTGTTCATTGCAGCCAGGAGAGTTGAATGTGAAACTTGGCTTCAGTGGGCAGTGTGTTGCTCTAGATTTGAACGTTTTTCTTACAGCTACCTATACACATTAGTAGCTACAGTAGTCTACCAAACAATGGACCCCGCCAACCGAACAGGTTAGCACTGCAACCACTCTTGCGAGCAGGCAAGTCAAACAAGATCAGAAGCCAATTATATCGCGCAACGCAAGGAAGGCCGGCACGGCTTCTTGGTCGAATTTTCTGGCAAAGAGAAAGCAGTGTGTGGGCCGGCCTGCCACTGTGCATGGCCGTGAGGGCGACTGCTTGAGGTAGCCCACTGTTTCAGCTGGTGGGAATCGACTCCGCTGCAACACAGCAAGGCAACCAGACGGATCAGTTGAACCGGTCAAGACAGAACCAAAAGGCACAGACAGGACTCATCAAGGACTGGCAGGCAGGTGAAGAGATGGAGGGGTGGGGACGTACTTGCAAGGAGAGGATGAATTCCCTGGTGACTTGACTCGTGCTGTAGCTCATGGGGTGGCTGGACGAGGACGTGAACCAGTGCACGTACAGCACACTGCGCGGCTCCACCGCCTTCCGGTCCAGCATCTGAACGGCAGAGAGGACAGGCAGGAGGGAGAGAGCAGCAGGCAATGGTGAGGAAGGCAGCGCGTTTCAGTTAACTTCAGAGAACAACAGCAAGTCAGGAACGTGCGAGGTGTGGGGTGACAGTGGGCTTAGGTGCTTACAGCAAGGATGGTTTGAATGTAGCTCTCGTCGGGAATCTGCAAGCAGCGCACAGGCAAGACACGCATGGAGAGACCGAGGGCAGGAAGAATGCGAGTGTAAGCAAGCAAGCTAGTCTGGGTGGAGGGAAGGGCGAGGCTCAAAGGCGAAATGGGCGATGATGCAGCGTGGGAGTGGGGAACATGTGAGAGGCGCATGGGGGCAGTGGGGCGCACCTCAGCGTTAGTTTTGACGAAGGTCTCGTAGAACTTGCTGTCCTCCACCACCTTTGCTGCATGCGCTCGCGTCAGCGCGAACCACTGCACACGTACACGCGCACGGAAGGTGGGCGGGAGGGGAACAGGTGTAAGCCACAGGGCGGGAGGATAGTCCAAGTTGAGCCGCAGCAGAGGTGCCTGTTGAGTGGACTCAAATGGTCAAACAGAAAGGGGCTCACAGCAACAAGCCTACAGCCCAAGCGCCTCACCTGCGCCCCCCAAGCGCCTCACCTGCACCCCCCAAGCGCCTCACCTCCGCCCCCCAAGCGCCTCACCTGCGCCCCCCAAGCGCCTCACCTGCGCCCCCAAGCGCCTCACCTGCGCCCCCCAAGCGCCTCACCTGCGCCCCCCAAGCGCCTCACCTGCGCCCTCAAGTCCCTCAACTGTGCACCCAAGTGCCTCACCTGCGCCCCCCCAGCGCCTCAACTGTGCCTCCCACGCGGCTCACCTGCGATCCCTTTTTAAAGTCCTGGCCCTTGATGACCGGCGCCATCTCCTTGCGGTACCGCCACACGCTCGCATGGCTGCTCGCACGCACGGGGAAGGGAGGGGAGAGGAGGAGGATCGGGAAGGCGAGGTGGACAGGGGAGAGGACAGATGGTTAGCCGGAGGGACAAATGGGTGGAGCAGAGAGCATTAGCGCGGATGAGAATCAAAAGAGCAAGGTGAGAGAGGTGAGGCGGGAAGAGAGAGGGATTGTTTGTCACGTACTTTGCTTCAAGAATATGTATATCCTTTGTTTTTCCTCGTCTTTTCGCACGCTACGACTTCACACAAGCTGGCTACGGTGCGCTACCTCGTAACGAAGCATACCTTGTAACGAAGCTCTTGTCGGACGCCATGAGGTAGTCGAAGACGTGCGTGAAGTTGAACAGCGGCAGACACCTGCGCCCACCACAGCGACGGGCAGCGGCGAGCAGGGTGGGGAAGGGGGAGAACAAACAGGGGGCGGCGGGAAGGGGGAGGGAGGCGAGGAGGGAAGCATTGAGGCGGTGTGCTTGGCACATGCGCTTATCATCCTATGCCTGCCAATCGGCTGGTGACACGTGCTAAGAGAGCGCGCTACACTAAATTTCAATCCGCGAGAACTTCGCCACGACTCCCTCCCCACCCTCCCCCGCAAGGAGCACAACTCCACCCCCTACAATCTCCACCCCTTTCCCGTACTCACGACTCCGACAGCAGAACGAAGCGCTGGTTGGCGGGATCCGCAAGCGCCGCGGCGAGCAGCCGGCGCTCCGCGCGGATGAGGTTGGGACCGCCCCACGTGATCTGGAGAGGGGGAGTGGGGGGATGGGGCGCGGAGAGGAGGGAGAGTGAGGAGGAACGCGAAGGAGTACGGAACACGACGGGGCGAGGCAAGGCAAGACGGTACATGACACGAGTGAAGTGGTTCCATGATGACGCGCCACTTCGAGCACTACTGGAAGCGAGAAACGCGAGAAAGTGGACGGAGAACCTGCCGTGGGGACGCCTGGCAGACGAACTCCGGCGAAGAGAGGGGCCTGCGGAATAGCCGAGAGTGCGGGCGGGCTTACAGGAACGCTGGGTATTTGGCGGCCGCGAAAGACGGAAGAGTTGACGTGCTTGTCGCATTCGTAATCGGCGGTGGAGGCGTGGATGTAGATGGAGTAGCGCCCCTCGTGGCCCTGCCGCGCGCACATTGGGGGACAGATGGTACGCGGAGTGGGGGAGACACGGAGAGAATGAGATAACGGCGAGCGGAATAGCACGATTATGGCGACGAGACAGGTTCTCCGCTTGGTGCCGTGCCTCATAAGTGAAACCTAGCTTAAAACCGGTGGAATGGAGTATGCGAAGTCCAAACAACAATCCCTGGAGCAGTGACTGAAGGCGGGCATTTAATGCCACGCACACGAGAACTAGCATCGCCGCCACCGGACGATCGCAGAAGCTGCGAGGCGGAGAGGCACGCGCAGGCGCACCGCGACCCGAAAAAAAAGAGAAAAATATGCGAAGGCGGATAGGCGGCTAACACCAAGGTGCGATAGGGAAGAATGTTGTCGCGATTGTCGCACAAGCAGAGCCACGCGCACCTGGAAGAATCTTTGCCAGACTCGCTCGAGCGGAAGCGGTCCTCTGACGAGAAAGAGGAACGCGATCTTGGGCTGCACGGCCGCGAGATCCGTCTGCGTGGGCTGCTCCATGGCTCGCCGAAACATGTCCTGATCCACCGCGTCGATGTTCCCCGTGTCCCACTCCGTCCGCGCCTCCGACCCGCCGCCTACTACCAGTAACCCCAGGTACACTACCCCGGTGGCTATGAGTAGATACGACACGTTGATCACTAACATCGACCAAATGCGAGCCCGCGGGAATCGGAATGACACACGCAATGCCATGGTTTGCTCTGCCTGAAGTGGGCTGTTAGACGCGTGGTTAACAAAGGCTGAAGCTGAATAATCTCGATAGACACTTTTGGTGGTTTTTTCAAGAACTTCAGTTAGGAGCAAAACGGTGGACGTGGGTCAGGGACACGTGGCTGGCAGAGAGTGAGGTAAAACTGCTTATCTAGGTGGCGAAGCTGCAAGATATTGCTCCCTGAATCAGGTAAAACTACTTATTTAGGTGGCGAAGATGCAAGAACTTGTTCTCTGGAACACATTCATGAAAGATGCACCAGTGGCGAGTCGTGAGGTATAAATTGCTAATATACCTGGCCAGGCTGGTGAGCAGTGATCAGAAATGTGTTCATGAACGATGGATGCACTGGTTGCAGTGGGTGGAGCAAAGCAGCTGAGCGTTTACCATCCGAGACTGAGACGAACTTGGGACACTGACCCGTGGGAGGAGGGAAGAAGAGGAACAGCGAGGCATTGAGCAGAGAGAGCTGCGTGGAGTTGGGGGAGGAGGGGCGGGCGAGGCGGGTGATGTGGGTCAGGCGGGTGCCAGGTGCGCACGCCTGACTACACTTTTGCCGCCGCTTCTGACTGGCCTCGGGTTTGGTTGGTCGTTCCGGTCCGCTGACTGCCCTCGGGAATGCCGCCACGGCTGTCTCTCCGCCCTTGCGGTGGCGCACGGCGCTGCTCCAGCAGAGCATGATCAACCTTAGCGCTCACGGATAGCGCGCGCGTGAGTTCCAGGCGGACGGCGGCGCACTCCTATAATTGCGTGTCCATTGCGCGAATGGGGATGCTTCCTTCCCTGCCTAGGCAGACCCACGAACGAGTCAGCTTCGGCACTCCCCTTACCCCGCACTGCTTCCCTTCCTTCCCTGCAACAGCAACAGCATCCTCCGCGGTGCTGTTCCCCCATGCGGACCCTTTCGCAAGGACGACCAGCAGAGACTGTTGCAGCCCCGGGGGACTTCTCTGCCAGACTTCGGGGTCACCGCTGTTCCGAGCCAATCAAATTCAACCGAAGTGGGAAGCCAGGCAAGTTTTAGGTTCGGTGGCTTATATGGGACGTGGTTGCGGGGACGGGGGGAGTTCTGGTTGGGCAAGTCGGTATTGGCACACACGTTTGTGAAGTCTGATTGTACGCGGTCAGCGGGAGATCCCGAATGTGCGGCCCAGCAGGGCAGAGGACGTTCCCAAGGTGATGGAATGTTCCGCACGGTGGAAAACCTGCCCCTGCTACATCTTGGTCGTTCAGTTCTATCGGAACTAGACTTCCTAATACGCGTTACAAATCGCGACTCACATTTATCCGTTTCTGAATCAACTTGCACGAGCAACTAAAATCAGGAATGGCTGCTTAACTAGAATTTAAGACATGATGTACAATTAGTATCCAGACCCATAATAACCTCCTGGAGGAGGTCCTGCACCTGGTGCCCCCGCATTTGGACCTTGCTGCCCGCTGCCATAACCAGAATAATAGCCTGCATTGGCTGCACCAGGGGCAGGTGGTTGCTGGTAACCGTTTGCTTCATACGACTGGTACTGCCCAGCACCTGGCGCTCCTGGCCCAGCTGCCCCTGCACCTGGCGAAGGGTTGGCACCGGGGGGGTACTGCTGCTGGTGCTGGTGCTGGTGTTGCTGTTGCTGGTGATAATTGTAGCCAGGAGCAGCGCCCCCTGCTGGTGCTGCACCAGGAGCAGAGTACCCACCGCCATAAGCCTCGGCATGGGGTGCAGGCTGGTTCCATGCACTGCCAGCAGGGGGAGCAGCAGCAGAAGAGTTGGACGTAGGGGCCGAGTAGCCATAACCTGGGTTCTGGCTGTACTCGTTTGCTCCACCCTGCCCTCCGTAGCTGTGCTGTGCGCCCTGCTGCTGCTGCTGCTGCTGCTGCAGCTGCTCCTGTGGCGGAGGCTGCTGCTGGTGCTGCTGCCAACCCTGGTTGCCAGTCTGCTGCTGCCCATAGCCCTCATAGCCGTACCCCCCTCCTCCCTGACCCACTCCCTGACCCTGTGGCACCGCCTGAGCCTGCACCTGACCCTGGGGTTGCACCTGACCCTGGGGTTGCACCTGACCTTGCGGCTGCCCGTGGGCTTGAGATGGCGCCTGCTGCTGTGGCTTCTGGGGCTGTTGCTGCTGGGGGCGGGGCTGAAGCTGCGGCTGCAGTGGGGGCCGGGGCTGGGCGGGGGGAGGTTGGAACTGGTGGGGGTGCTGCTGGCTGAGCTTGAGGTACACCTGGGCGCGCTGCTGTGCCTGCCGCGACGACAGGCTTGACGCCAGCGCTGTGAACCGCCCGCGGATCTCCTCCATGCGCTGCCGGGGGGAGGGGGGGGGAAGGGTAGGGGACAGAATGGCGGGCAGATAGAGGATGAGGAGGAATGTGTGGTTGAGAGAGGCAACTGGACCTGCGGCTTCAAGGTGAAGCACATAACACAACCTCAACCTACCATCTACACCAAGGACATAACCCTCCACCACACAATCCCTTCCCCCTCACCGTTCCCTAACTTCCCATCCCCACCCACCCCCCCACCCTCTCTCTTCCCCCATCTTTTCCCCCGTCGCCTCCCATCCAGCCATGTGCGCACCAGAGTGTGGCGGTCCGTCTCCTCCTTCTCCTCGCGCGCCTGCGCCTGCTGCAGCGCGCTCGCCTCCGCCGCCACCACAGCCTCTAGCTCCTCCACGGACGACGGCAGCGGGCCCTGCGGCGGCAGCTGCAGCATCGGCATGCCTGGCGGGTGGAGGGGATGGGTGTACGGGCGGGGCGGCAACGGGAGGGCGCGGGGGATGAGCGGAGCAGCGCAGAAACGGGACGGCGGGGAAAGGAGAGAAGCAATTGGCTGTTCATCAGCAATAAGTCGATGAGAGGTAAGAGCGTGCAGCAGGCCATGGCTATGGCTATGTTCATGCCTATAAATATGACTTTGGCTGCGGCTGTGGCCAATGCCATACATGCACGCACTCACCTGCACCACCCATACCACTCGATTCTACCTGTCCCCCATACGCGCCCATGGCGCTCCCAGGCAGCATCGCTCCCATCGCTCCCATCGGTCCCATCGCCCCCATCGCCCCCATCGGCCCCATGGGGCCAACCGCGCCCATCCCCCCCATGGGCCTCACTGCGACCAGCGGCCCCCCATCCGCCGCCATCCCCGCTACGCCCACCATCGCTCCGCCCGCCTGCCGCTGCGCCTCGAGCTGCGCCGCGATCAGCCTCAGCGTCGCGTCCTCCGCCTCCCCCCCAATCACCATCTCCGCCTCCCCCGCCACCTCCGCCGTCGCCGCCGCCCACATGCGCTGCTGCTGCTGCAGCTGCTGCTGCGCGGGGTCGTGCGCCAGCGCCGTCAGCGCCATCTGCACTGCCGCCGGCCCGCCCAGTATCCCGCCGCCCTTCCGCAAACTATCCAATTGCAGCTGCTCAATATACCCGCGCACCACGCTCTCCCCCGCCGCGAGCGTGTCGCGATCGGTCGCAGAAATCTTAACGATAAACGCGCCGTCGCCGACGGCGAGATCGTCTTCGAGCTGGATGCGGCAGTTGGTCTGCTTCTCCAGGCCCTGCACCACCATGCCCGCCGTGCCGATTATCCGCGACCGCATGCGCCGGTCCGCCACCCCGATGCTGATTGCGAACGGGTGCGCCGCGGACGGCGCATGGCGCTTTCCGCCGCCCCCCCGCCCGCCCCCCTCCCCGCCAAACCCTCCACCTCCGCCCCCGCCGAGAGTGGTGGGGCAACCCTGAAGGAGGTAAATCAGAAAGTTGCGGTGAACGGAGGGAAAGTTAGGGTTTTGAACGAGGCGCGGATGCTATCAGTGCGCTACGCCTCAGTCTAATCGGCACGACGACTCGCCAGGGCCTGCGGCGGTAGCGATAATAGCGATGTATGACGACGTTTAACGACGCTTCCGACAGCCTTGGTCAGTGAATACCCTTCTTCTTATTTAACCTAGCGTTTAAGACGCCGAGATCCCTATCAATGTCGGCCCGCGCCGCTTCGACCTTCCGCAAACTCCCCTCTCCACTCTATCCCCCTAATTCTCTGCGCAGCTCCGCCTCCGCGCACCTGAGTGGGGTGCCCCGCCTCTCCGCAGATCTTGCATGTGAGGTCGTCTTCGCGCCGCTTCTTCCAGTTGCGCTCCGCCGCCTTCGCCTTCGCCTCCCACGCCTTGCTGTACTTCCCGCCGAAATCTGTCGGTACGTCCGTCCCCGCATCCTCGCGCTGCCTGCCGACCTCCGCATCGTCCCCGCCCTTCCGCTTCTCCGCCTTGACCGCCGCGTGCGCCTGCGCGGGCGCTGTGTAGCCCTTGGCGTAGACGCTCTTGAAAAACTCGTCGTCGTCACCCTCACCACCCTGCACACCGGCCATCGCGCCGGTTTAGCTGGCCTAGCGGGTACCGAGTAGCAAAGGTGGCGGAAACAGGAAACTTTGAAACGGGAAAGTGATTGAACCCGCTTTTTGGACGCGTGATGTATTGTTATGTTTTACAGTAAAAACTGTTAGTTGTGCGGTTCAAAGTGGTTGCGAGAGAAAGACTCCAATTGCAGAGGATCCTGCTCAACCAATGACGTGTACCTGCGAAAATGAACCGTCAATTTAGACGATATTCGATATACAATTGCCTCGATATGCATCCGAACCCTGAAATTCCAAAAGCCAATCATGCATTTCACAGTTCCTTTTCGATCACACCCATTCTCCAATCTTTCTGCCATTAGCAATTCACTGCTGGATTTGCTGCCGAGTTTAGTTTTGCGACACCTTCGTGAGCCTTCCCAGGACTCACCTGAGAGATATCCCGACAGATTCCGTTTCCGCAATCCACTTCGCCGTCTGATTTGTGTGCTCTCCCGTCAAGAAGGGAGGCTCCTCGTGAGCGATCCCGATGGGGCGGCAGAAGGGCGGCGATGCGGCGCGATCCAAGAATCGACCAGCCAGCAGCAGGTGCGCCGCAACCTCAGCTAATGCGAGTGCGTGTGTCACGAGCGCACCGTTGGGTGCCGGTTACGCTAGAAACCAAGGAGGCTGTGTGCGCGTGCTTTCACTTCAGTAAGGGCCACGGACGATGGCCCGAAACACGCGTAGTGAATCGAGATGGTTGCCACGTGTTCCGATGTCTCTGCGGCTTGTCAGGCTCCAGTGTGGGCGTTTGAAATCAGGAAGTTTCGGCCGGCGTGGTTGCGTGTTTGCTAGGTGTAATTCCGTGCAGCTTGGATCCGCACGGTGATCGTCGTATTTCATACCGCGTCGCGGATCGCCGATTCACATTCCGGGGCAAGCAGAACGGAACGCCTGAAACGACGACGCCATCCGCCCTTCTCCCCCCTCCTGCCCCCTTTTTCACACACTTCTCTCCCCGCTGCCCTTCCACCCCACCGTCCCGTCCGCTGCCCATTCACACGCCGGCGGCGACCCTCCCAGCGCCCTCCTCATGCCATCCTTGGCGCCGCTTCTGCTTCCGCAATTTCCTCATATCCCCTCCCCCTCCTCATTCACCATCCCCTCTCCCCCAACCCCCGTCCCCCCCCTTCCCCCATATCTTCCGCAGCCTGGCCGCCTCGCTGCTGGCAGCGGGCGCAGGCAGCGCGGCAGGCGGAGCTGGAAGCGCCCCCCGCCCAGTGGGGTTCGGGGGATACGTGGGCAGTGCGCGGGTGCAGACAGCAGCCGCGGGGGCGGCTGGAGGGGGAAGGGAGAGCGCGGAGGGCGGGGCAGACGGAGGGCGGGAGGGGCAAGGGGGGGCAGCGGAGGCTTCTGCAGGCAGCGGGCCTAAGGAGCTGGTCATTGGGGCAGTGAGCGCTGGAAGGGGGAGGGGGGAAACAGGGAGAAGAGGGGTTGTGCAGTGTTGCATGCACAGCTTTCATGCGCCGCAAGCCTGTAAACCTCTTTGCCGTTTCCCGTTCACCACTCCCCCCCACCAATCAGTACCCCTCGCCACCCTGCCCCTCTACTGTGCGGTGATGAGCAGGACGTGGGCGGCGAGGCAGCGGCGCATCTGAGGCGGCTGGCGAAGAAAGACGCCACCACCAAGGTGAGTGGCAAAGAAAGACGCCACCACCAAGGTGAGTGGGTGCAGCATGGGGAGTGGCAGGCACAACGGGAGCAGCAGGAGCAAGGCGAGCGTTGCAGACAGACAACAGGCGCTTGGGGTGGGAGCAGGCGGGTGGGCTGTGATAGTGCTCAGTTGGATTTGCGAGTGCAAGCAGTGGTGCGATTATGAATGGACATGCAGAGAAGAGTGGCTCTTCACACGCACTTTCATGTGCACTCCTGATGTGCCTTCCCTTTGCTGATCTTCCCCCAATCCTGCCGCCTCTGCTCTTCTCCATCCCACCAACACCACTCCCCTTTCTCACACCTCTCCTCCCACTCCCTCCACTCTGTACCACGTCCCTCCACGTCCCTCGGTGACCCCTCCCCCCAGCTGAAGGCGCTGGAAGCGCTTCAGGGGGTGCTGGGCGGCAGCACAGCCGCCCAGATGCAAGCCATGCTGCCTGCTTGGGTGAGAAATGATACAGCGCCATGCCATGCTGTCGTATGCCATTCGATGCCATGTGGTGTGGTGTTGCGCCACGCCATGCCATGCCATGTGCCGGCACTGGTGAAATGCGATTCAGCTTGCCACTCAGCATGCATCCTGCTCTTCCCTCACTGCTACTGCCTTCCTCCTCCTTCACCTTTCCCTCTTCTCTTCCCATCTCTTTGTTTCTCTTCCCGCGCCGTCGTCTCCACATGGCGTGCACTGACAGGCGTTTGAGTACCGGCGGCTGGTGGTGGACGGCAGCAGGGCTGTGCGCCTCGCCACACACGCCACCATGACCCTGCTCGTCAAGGCCGTGGGGTGAGTCCATGCTCGTCAAGGCCGTGGGGTGAGTCCATGCTCGTCAAGGCCGTGGGGTGAGTGGGTCAACTCGAGTCTAGGGCGTGGGGTGAGTGGGTCAACTCGAGTCAAGGGCGTGGGGTGAGTGGGTCAACTCGAGTCAAGGGCGTGGGGTGAGTGGTCAACTCGAGTCAAGGGCGTGGGGTGAGTGGGTCAACTCGAGTCAAGGGCGTGGGGTGAGTGGGTGGGTCAACTCGAGTCGAGGGCGTGGGGTGAGTGGGTCAACTCGAGTCAAGGGCGTGGGGTGAGTGGGTCAACTCGAGTCAAGGGTGTAGGGTGAGTTGGTGTGGCAGATAGTAGTTTCGAATGTCAACATAATTCAGTGTGATGCGTCACATGCACCATGTCTCACTCCCTCATGATGTCACTGCTGCCTCTTCTCTCTCCTTCCAGATTAATGTTCATTCGCTCAAGCATCATCCTTGCCTTTTCCTCTCTCGTTCCCATGGCAGCAAGGGCCTGGCGCCACACCTGAAGCAGGTGATGGGGCCGTGGTGGGTGGCGCAGTTTGACTCCTCCCGTGACGTCGCTGCTGCCGCCTCCCTCTCCTTCCAGGTGCGTCACAGGCTTACCAGCTTTCGTCTCCTCCTGCTGCCCACCCTGCTGCCCACCCTGCTGCCCACCCTGCTGCCCATCCTGCTGCCCATCCTGCTGCCAATCCTGCTGCCCATCCTGCTGCCCATCCTGCTGCCCATCCTGCTGCCCATCCTGCTGCCCATCCTGCTGCCCATCCTGCTGCCCATCCTGCTGCCCATCCTGCTGCCCATCCTGCTGCCCATTCTGGTGCAGCCGCTGTGCACTCCTCATCCATCCCGCACTTGTCGCCTCCTTCTTCTCCCCCCCTCCCTCCTCCAGACAGCCTTCCCCACGCCCACACGGCGAGTGGAGGCGCTGGCATTCGCGGGGGAGGCGGTGGTGGGCGCGCTGGCGGAGCTGCTGGCCGCCACCCCGCAGTCGCTGGCTGCTGCCGACCGCTCGCTCAGCGTGGAGGAGGCCAAGCACCGCCTGGACGAGGTGCGATGCGGTTGGAGGAGGTGGGATGCGATAGCCATTGCAGAAGTGTTCCGTTCATTTATCTTACCCATTATTGTTCCAACCATCCGCTTATCAATATACCCCCTCCTCCCCCCGCCCCCGCCCTTCCTCCACCTGCTCCCATCCACGCCTGCCCCCATCCTCTGCCCGCCCACCCCCCCTGCGTGCAGCTGCTGTGCGCAGCTCTGCTGGCGCTGAGGGCGCTCCTGCAAACCCTGCTGCCGCCACGGCCACTCAGAGGGGCTGCTGCTGGCGCTGCGACCGCAGGTGGGGAGACAGCAGCAACAGCAGGAGCAGGTACAGCAGCAGCAGGGGCAGCAGGAGAACCATCAGCAGTAGAATCAACGGCAGCGGCAGCGGCAGCGGCAGCTGCGCCAGCAGCCCTGCCCCCGTCTGTGGTGGCAGCCCAGCCGCGCATGGCAGCGTCGCTGCTCTCCTCCCTGCGCGCCCTCTCCTTCCTCCGCGCCCTCGCCAAACACCCCTCCCCCCGCGTGCGCTCCGCAGCCTACCACACGTTGCCAGCTGTCCTGCTCTCATTGGGCCCGCAGGGGCAGGAGCAGGAGGGAGTGGTGACGAGTAGCGGGAGGGGGGGCAACCAGGAGGGAGGGGGGGGCGGAGAGAGGTGGGAAGGTGAAGTGGAGGTGATGGGGGAAGCGGAGGTGGTGGAGAAGGTGGGGCCAGTGGTGGCAGCAGCCATGGGGGAGAAGGTATCCGCATGCCATGGCGCCATGTGGGAGCTGGTTCTGGTGGCATCACGCACCTGCCCCTCCCTCTGGGCCAACCCTTCCTTTCTTAAATCCGCTCTGCCGAAGCTCTGGGGTTTTCTCCGAGCCGGGTGTTTAGGCTCGGCAGCGCAGTCGTACCCGTGCCTGCTGCTGCTGCTTTCGGTGTTCTTCCGAGCCAGGCTGCACCAATCACAGGGCGTGTTGGTGCCTTTTTTTACGAGCCTTTGGCAGGGACGGCTTGTCCACATGGCGCGGCCTGATTGGCTGGCGCTGCTGACGTGTGTGAGGGAGTGCTTGGTGCTGAGTGTGGTGCAGCTGAGGCGAGAGGAGGGGAGGGCAGTGGGGGAGGAGGAGGTTGGGGGAGGGGAGCAGAAGGAGGGTGGGAGAGAAGGACAGGTAATCTACGCTGGAGAACTAGTGAAAGTGGTGTTGTGGGATTTATGCTTCCTAGACCTCCTTCCCGAGCCCAGGAACACTGGTTCGGACCTAGGCTCGGATTCTCATGGTCCAGAGAAGACAGAGGGCACTGGTGGAAAGGCCGAAGGGGGGAGGGGCGGGGTGGCAGCGGGTGAGAGGAAGGGCGGGAGTGCATGGCTGGGAGCGGTGGTGGCGTGTGTGGGAGAGACAGTGAGGCAGATAGTGCAGGTGGAGAGGGGAAAGGGGTGGACGGGGGGCGGAGGAGAGGAGGCGCAAGAGCTGGGGAGGGGTGAGGCGCCGAGAGGGTCTGTTATGGACGGCTTCTGGTCGTGCGTGGTGGATGCCGTGCTGTCTGCTGTTGATGGCCCCACTGCTACTGGTGTGCCTCCTCCTGTTGATGCTGCCAAGAAGGAGCACACAGGGGAGTGTGAAGTGGCGCTGCTGAGGCGAGCACTCGCAGGGAGCGCTGCTGCTGATGGTGGTCATAACACAAGCAAGCGCACTAGCGACGGCAGCACAGTGCAAGCAGTTCTGTCACTGCTGAAGCAGCTCAAGCCGACAGCAGCAGCTGCAGCAGGGCCTGCAGGAGTGGCATCAGCAGCAGCAGGCGGTGTGAAGGGCAGTGGCGAGCGTATGGAGTGGGTGGTGCCTGCAGTGGTTTCTCCTCTCATGCACCGACTGCTGCCCCTCGCGCTGCCCCTCCCCCTCCCGTCCTCTCCCCTCCCCTCTTCATCCTCCCCCGCTCGCATGGAAGCGGCAGCAGCCATGGCGGCGGCACTTGTCGACATGTTTGGAGCACCAGCCATCCCGTGCCAGCTGGCGGCGCATGATTCGACGGACAGTGCAGCTACCGTGGCTCGCAGTGGCACGACTCCCCTGCAGCTGCTGGACTTGCTGCTGGCAGACACGGAGGTTGGGGCAGGAGAGGGAGCAAGTGGCAGGGCGGATGGCAGGGCTGTGTTTGTTCTGCAAGTGAAGCTCCTCTCGCACCTCGCCCTGCTCCCTCCGCCACACAGCACCATCACCACCACCATCACCACTAGCAGCAGCAGTGCAAGCAGCATAGGTGGAAGCGAATCAGGGGCAGCAGAAGGCGAGAACTGCCTGTCGCTCATCGTGCAGCGGCTGTGCACTGCTGCACTCCACCCAGCCAAGCAGAGCGAGGCAGAGGCAGGTGGGGGTCATGGTGGAGGCTCCTCCTCCCTCAACATGCCCGCTTGCCTCCTCGCTGCTCTCCTCTCCTCGCTCTCCGCCCCCTCCCCTCCCCTCACCGCCGCGGCCAGCACCGCTCTTGACCGCTTGGCCATGCACGTGGTTGCATCCATGCCGCTGCTGCTCCTCCCCTCCTCCCAATGGCTCCTCCGAACGCTCCTCTCTCCGCCTCCTGCTGCTCCCACGCCCCTCTCTGTCCCCTCCTCGCGTTCCTGGCTGTCGCCCTCCTGCCTTGCCTTGGTCTATGCCTCTCTGCATTCGCACCTGCTTTCTTCCCTCCTCGTGCTCTCCTCCTCTCCGTCCCTCCACACTCTCGGTCTCATGCTCCAGCCACTGCTGCTGCTGGTGAGGCGAGAGGGAGGTGTGGGGGGAGAAGGGGTGGAAGTAGGAGCATTGGAAAAGCCAGACTCAGAAGGAGGAGGTGAGGGGGATGCCACGTCAGCACAGGCCGAGCTGGCAGCATGCCTGGACGTCCTGGAGCCCCTGTGGCTCGCCTCCCATGTGTCTGCCAGCAGCGCAGGCTCTGCTGAGCTGTCGTGTGGTGATTTGCTGGCGGTGGTTGCTGCTTGCTCGTCTTACCTTGTAAGCTGGTGCCTGGGGGAAGGGGAGGCAGACAAGGGAGAACAGGCAGGGAGTGAGGAGGAGAGTGACGATGAGGAGGAGGAAACGAAGGAGGATGGGGACGAGGAGGGGGAGGGAGAGGAGGGGTTGGAGTTGGAAGAAGAAGAGGAGGGGGGAGGAGGAGGGGCATCAGGGGAAGGGTACATGGAAAAGGTTCTGGGAGGGGGTGGAGCAGCAGTGGCGGTAGGAGCAGCAGGAGCAGCATGGGGTGCAGCAGGGGTTGAAACGGGTGTGGGGGCAGGTGGGACAGGCGCTGTAGAAGGGAGTGAGACTGCACGGCTCGCATCCGTGGGTGCTCACATGGCAGGGCCTGTGGTGGTAACTGTGTTACCAGCTCTGCTTTCTGCAGCTAACCAATGGGTCTCGCTCCTCTCACACCCTCCATCTACCAGTCACTCCACCACCACTGATTGCACTACCACCACTCACACCACCCATGCGCCATCAGCCACCCTCACTAACCCTATGCCAGTAGCTACCCTCACTGCACGCCTGCTCACTCGCTCTCTTGCCACTGCTGCTGCTTCTCCTCTCTCCCACTGCCGCCCACACCTCTGTGCGCGCTGGGCGGTGGATCTTGTCCGTTTCTTCCAGCTGCAAGGCGGGAAGGAGGCGGCGGAGAGGCGTGTGATTGGGTGGATTCTGGCCGATCTCGAGTTGATGGGTGGAGGGGAGCAAAAATGGCCTCGATTTGTGGGTCACTTTCCTGACTCTTCTGTCACGGCTGGTTCTCGTGACAGTGGTACGACAGGGTACAGTCACATTGACAGCATCATCAACGCACTGCCGCCTCCTCCTCATCTCTCCTCCGCAATTTCGCAACCCCCCTCACACCTCCTCTCCTCCCGCCTCCTCCACTTCCTCTCTCACCTCACTCACCTCCTTGGCCCATCTGCCGTTTTCTTCTGCCCAGCGGGCGGCGGGCGGGAGGCACTGGCGGTTGAACTGATGTGCGCCTGGCAAGAGGAACACTCTCTGCGCCACCACCATCACTCCACCGTCACGCCACATGGCGGCCTCTCATTGGGCGGGCTTGACGGCGATGGCCTTGGGATTGGGCCAGCAGTGGTGGCGGAGCTGATGGTGGGGGCAGCACGGCAGGTGGGGGAGAAGGAGGCGGAGGTACAAAAAAGTGTGGAGGGAGGGGCAGAGGTGGGAGCAGGAGTGAGAGGAGCAGTAGAGGGCAGAGCGGAGGGAAGGCTTGTGAGCGAGGTGGTGAGTGTGTTGGTGCAACTGGCGTCCCAGGAAATCGACCCTGCTCGTGCCAGTGCTGCCACCGCCACTGCCACACATGCATCATTGGCTCTCAAGGCACTCTGCGGGCTTCTCAGAAGGTTCCTTGCAGCAGGGGCGTGGGGCCCATGGCAGGCATGGCAGGTGGTGCAGCAGCAGGTGGCAGCACTGAAGGATGAGAGAGAGGGCCGTGGCAACTCTTCCCATGGAAATGCCGGGAGTGGGGGAGGGCGTGGGAGAGTGCGAGTGGTGGCAGAGGTGGTGGGGATACTGATGCCTGTGGTGCGGTGGGGCGGGCAGGTAGGGGGGCGAGCCGAGGCAGCAGGGGGAGGTGCAGCAGCGGGTGGGGAAGGAGGATGGAGAGGGGCGTTGGAGCAGCAGGTGGATGAGGAGGTGGTGTGGTGGGTGCAGCGAGCCAATGAGGCGCTGCCACTTGTCGCATGTGTGGAGCAGCAGAGTGCAGAGGCAAGAGGTGAGTGGTGGCCTGACGGTTAGTGCATCTCATGGTGCCTCACAACTGCCTCGCTATTGCCACATTGCCATGCACCACACCACACTGTGCCACATTGCCATGCACCACACCACACTGTGCCACATGCGCGCGTCCCTGACCACATGGGCATCAGCATTCACAATCCGTTCTGCTCCTCCCCTACTGCTATCCAAAGTCCAGCTATCTCCTTCTCCTTTTCCACCCCCTGCCCCTATCCATCCCCCTTCCCCCCAATCTGTGCAGACTCGCTCGCTCTCCACGCCCTCGCCTTGGCGCTCTTCCCCATGCCACCATCATCTGGTCCCTCTTCCACCCCTCTCCAAGCCCACTCCTCCGCCACCACCAGCAGCCCCTCCCAGCGCGCCGCCCTGCTCGCCCTGCTGCGCCTGCAGACCTCCCGCCACGCCACTGCTGCCGTCGCTGCCGCTGCCGCCGCCTCCCGCCTCGCCGCTGCCGCGTCTGCTGGGGATGCAGGCAGCGTGGGGCCCGGGGAGACGAGCAGTGCTCTGAGCAGCGTGGGTAAGATGAGGCATGCTGGGGGTGTGAGTGCGGACGTGGGAGGGGGGGACGAGTTGGATGATCTAGACGAGCTTGATGAATTGGATGAGCTGGATGAGGATGGCGGCGGTGATGCAGGTGGCAGTGATGACGTGCTATTTGACGAGCTTGATGAGCTGAATGAGGAGGAGGAGCAGCAGAGCGGTGGGAGGGATGGAAGGCCGGTGCAGGTGCAGAGCAGTGCCAGTGGTGCAACCAGTAACAGGGAGGCATTGCAGCAGCAGCAGGTGGGGGTCGAGGAAGCATGGGAGAGCACACAGGAGAGCAGGGAGGAGTGGGTGGCGCACGTGAATTGCTGCCTCCTCGCCCTCGCCAGCACAGCAGTGGCGTACAGCTGGCAGGAGATGGCGGAAGCTGACGTGGCGTTTGTGGGCGGCAGGCTGCGGCAGGCGCTGGCAGCAGCAGCCATGGCGTTTGAGGAGCTGGTGGAGGGTATGGGGGAGGGGGTGGGGGAGGAAGAGGATGGGAATAGGAGAAAATCAGGAAAGAGGCAAGCAGGGGAGGGGCAGGCAGGGGATGAGCAGGGAAGGGTGAGTGGCATGGCACGGCGGCTGGAGGCCATGCCATTGGACGTGGCAGGTGCTGCCCTCTCACTGCTCTCCATGCTGCTCGCCCTCCACTCCCACGCCTCTGCTGCCTCCGCTGCCACCAGCAGCATCTTCTCACTCTGGTCGTCAGCCGCTCCATCGGCGTCCCCCTCCTCGCTCTGGTCATCAGAGGCATGTGCAGCGGTGGTACGGCAGGGGTCAGAGCACGCCTTGCGCATCTTCATTGCTACAGGCCTAGCAGACGCGGCTGTCCCTCACAGCACCGTCGCCAGCAGTGCAGCCAGCAGCGTTCAGAGCAGCCAGCCCATGACAACCTGGCGCCTGCAGCATCCACTCTTCTTCCGCCAGCTGTCGCACGCAGTGCTTGCCGCTCCCCCTCGGGCGGTGGAAGCAGCGGTGCGGGCAGCGGAGATCTGGGGGGCGGGGCGAGGGCCAATTGCAGGGCTGTATGCGCTCATGTGCGGCCCGTCGCCAGGTGGCAGCGTGCGATTGGCTGCATTCTGGTGTCTTTCTAGGGAGCAGGTATTGCCTGCTGCTGTGGGGGCAGCGGTGGTGAGGGGCGGAGGAGACGGGGAGACACATGGAGAGCCAGTTGGTGATGGCGTCAGACCTGAGCTGGCTCACATTCTGCAGCCAGCCAATCGGAAGGAGTTGCTGACGTCAGCTCTGACGTCATCGCAGCGGGTGCGGTACTACCTGGCAGCTTGTCTTGTGCTGCACCGCATCCAATCCCTCCCCACCTCACCCCCATCCCCACCTCCCTCCACCGCAACCGCCTCTGCCGCATCGCCATCCTCCCCTCGTGACCGCCTCATCTCTTTCATCCTAGCCACTCCCACTCTCACTCTCCTCCTCGACCTCGTCTCTCAAAACCTCCTCCTCGCCCCCTCTCCCTCACACTCCTCCGCCTCTGCACGTCGCCTCATCCATCTCAACCCCTCAGGACCCCTCCCCCCTGCGGTAGCCCAAGCTGGGGACTTTGCCACACGTGCAGTTGCCCAGGCCTCGCCTCTGGACGTCGCACTGGAAGTTTTAACCCTGTCCGGGGCAGGCAAATTATCGGTGCCACGCATGCGCAGCCTGGCAGCAGCGGTGTTTGGGGCAGCGCTGCGAGTGGTGCCAGGGGGGGTGAGGCGGTGGTATGCGGATGTGAGGGAGATGGGAGTGCGGCGGGGCATGGACATCTTCACTGCCCGATACTGCAGCGCTCACATGATCTCCCTCGAACTCGCCCAGGTATGCATTCTCTCCCTCTCTCTCACCTCTCCTCTCTCATCTTCTCAAACCATGTTCATGAAATACCACGCTCCCAGCGACACTCCTTCCTTCGTACCTCTCCTGAATCTTCCCAGCCACGTCCCATTCTGCTGCCGCTTCCCTTCCTCCGTCAAACCCCCCCCCCCCTCCCCAACCAGGCGCAGAAGGCGGGCGGCAGCAAGGAGGACCTGACGGTGCGCACACGGCGGTCAGCACGCGAGGTGTGGGCGGTGTACTGCAAGGACGAGGCCAAGCTGGAGCTTGTCATCAAGCTGCCCGAAAGCTACCCGCTGCGAGGGGCAGCTGTCGAAAGTTCCAAAGGGGCAGGCGTGAAAGAGGCCGAGATGCGCAAGTGGCTGTTGGCTGCTAACTCGTTCCTGCTGCTGGGAGGGGGGTCGGTGGCAGATGCGGTGGTGCAGTGGTGCGACTGTGCAGAGAAGAAGTTTGAAGGGGTTGAGGATTGCCCCATCTGCTACAGTGTCATCCACTCGTCCAATGGCAGCCTGCCACGTCTGCAGTGCCGCACGTGCAAGCACAAGTTCCACCCCGAGTGTCTGTACCAGTGGTTCCAATCCTCCCACAAGTCCACCTGCCCGCTCTGCCAGACATCCTTCTAGCTTCAGCTGCTCGCCTGGCGTCATTGTGTTTGAGATTTCGGCCGGGAGTCAGCAGCAGGGGTCAGCAGCTTTGGGATGAGCCTTGCCTGCTTTTCTTTCTGGCTTCTTAGCCTCTAGACGCATACCCAGTCTCCCATCGAGCTTCTTGGTTAGATGGAGGTTCTCTTAAAATAAAAACGTTGTGCCGTGTTATATAGGCAAGAGGAGGTACTGCAACGAAGGCAGCAGGCAATGCTACATATTTACAGACACTTCCAGCATAGGCATGAGAATTGCCCCACTGGGCTCAGTGATGACAGCGTAACACAACTTCGGACTACAAAAACATCAGGTGGCCAGCTCGCTTCAAGAAGGCGAGAAGAGAATCTGGAATTGCTTCACCTTCTGAACGTAGTTGACCATCGCGACTTCGATGCTAAGGCCTGCGGGGGGGCGAACGAAATAGTCAGGACTGACTGGCATGGATGGAATGGCACATTCATGGACGTCAATCCATGCATGAATCCACTGAAGTTTCGCTCTTCAGGGGTCATGGACTCGATGCAATGCAATGCAAGCTGACCTGCGAAGTCGCGCCAAGCCTGAAGTTTCTCGCGGTCGTCAGTGTCCACGTCCTCTTCTGAACCTGCACAGCATTCCGTGTTAACGTCAGCTCTGTTTCTAACAGCACGATATCTGAATAGAAGACGACGGAATGAGCAGACAAAACTTCAAGTTGTGACTATTGTGAGTAAACACTGCCTACGAAGTTTAGAGACGTCTAAGCGACTGACAACCTAGAAGCGAGACCTTGGTCGCAAAATGCAAAAACGAACGAAAGCCGTACACGAAGTGATGCTTCCTGCAGTCGCCTGCTTGTACAGCCCATAGAGAACCAGCTGGTACGACGGTGCTAGTGCTGGACTCAGCTGCTTCGCCGCCTCAACAGACGCAAGGAAATCGGCCTGAATGGACGAACACACGTCAGTGAGAAGCCGCGTCACGCAGCAGGGACAAAAGGAGAACGAACGGAATCACGCTGCGATACATCATACGCTACCATGCGCTTTATGTACCTCAAGGCTCAGGTCGCATGCTGCCTCCGTGAATGGCTCGGCCCGACAGGCCAACGCATGCGGAACGGCAGGCGACTCCCACCGTTCGCGGACATATGCTGCCATAAGTCCAACCCTAGATAACGATGCTCCACAGCGTAGCCCTCAATCCTTACAGCATGAGTGAAATCGGCTGTCAAAACTCGCAAGCATTCCTGGAAACAACGTAACTACAACGGACATGCTAGAAGCAACGCATGCGATTTTGGCTGAAAGATAATTTTTGGGTGAGCTGGGCTTGCATGCGCGAAAACCTGTGTCGAATGGCGCGAAACCTCCTCTTATCAGGCTGGCTCACCTCGAAAGTGACGGAATGATGGCACAATCCTGAAACTTCTGCAGTGTACTTCGCTCGTGCTATTTGGCAAAAAAATCAATAAATGCAACTAGCAAATAGTAAACCACATAACTGCTCCAACATGGGATACCAGCGCTGTGTCCCTTTCCCCTAGCTTCCATACTCAGAAAGAGGAAACTCTCTTAGGCCCACTTCTCGAGGGAGACTACAGGGGCCTCACACATACGAGCACAGACATGCGCCAGCATATATGCGGCATTATTCAATGAGTGAAAACTTCACACGCCTCCCTGACATCCTCGGGTCTTGCAGCAATCCAGGAAACATGGGTGGTTTCGCACCATAGTCCAGAACAGAAGAGTAACTCACAACGCTACCAAGACTGCTGGTGGTGGTGCTGTAAGCAGCTGTACTGGTACTGCGAGGGCTTCTAGATGGGGCGGAAGGAGCACTAGTTTGGGGAGGAGCCACTGCCGCGCTGGAGCTCTCAAGTACCCACATTTGGCCCACACGCTCTTTCGGCGAGGTGACTTTCTTTGGAGACGATGGGCCATATTCACCTACGCTCGCAGAGTGCGGAAGCCCAGTCGGTGCGTGCTCCTGCGCCTTGGAACCACATGCACTGAGGTCGCTCTCCGACCGACAGGAGGGAATCCTGCGTGAAGCAGATGCGCTGACCTTGATGTTGCCGCTGCTCCTTCTCCCCCCCTGCTTGCTTGGCTCCTGGTCCGTTGCTTCCTCGTTGTTGGACCTCGTCTCGGCGCTGCTTCCTGTGCTGTTGAGGCAGTTGCACGTGCTGCTCATGCTCACGCTCCTTGAAAGCACACCGTCGGGGGTCACATCGTGCTGGTGCTGCCGCATGCCCATCATCCATTCTTGATGCTGCACCTTCATCCTCTCGCTCTGCACCTCTTGTGCCGCCTGCTTCGCCGCATCCTTGACGATCCTCTCCTTATCTTTCTGCAGCGCTTCCCTCTCCCGCTTCAACTCCTCTCGCTCCTTCCTCACCTCCTCCCTCTCCTTCCCCACAGCCTCCCTTTCCTGTGCCAACACTGCTCGCGACCACTCCAGCGACACTCGGGTCCTTTGCGCTGACGCACGTTCCTCCTTTTGCTTTGCCGCTGCCACGTCATCAGCCTGGGACCACGCTTTCAGCACCGCTTTCAGCTCCTTCGCCAAGTCGTTTCGTTCCGACGCCAACACGCGGGCGGCTGCTGTGGCTTCATTCGCTGTGCGCTCCGCTGAGCGCAAAGATTCTGCACAGAGAAAAGAAAAACAGAAACGACACGAGTAACGAAGAGTAAGAAACCACCCAAAGAGGATTGCACAACAATCGACTTTACTGATTCTAGACGCTGAGTTTGAGTGGTCCAAAAGCGCGTGTCGAGCCCCGTCATGATGTTCCGGACTCACCAGAGAGCAACTTGTTGATTCGCACGCATCGTTCCAGCTGCGTCCTCAGATCGTCAATCTCGCGACGCAGCCGTCTCATCGACACCGACCCGGCGTCCGAATCCTCCTCGTCATCCGTCGCTTCGTTTCGGGCCGTTGTCGCCGTGTCCTCGTCCTTCAAACGGGTTTTGCGGGAGAGGGTGCGCTCCGACGGATCCGACGCCGCGACGCGCGACAGGGATCGGCCTCGGGACGATGCGTTCCCCTGGATCGCTTTAGGAGAGGAAGCAGAGGAAGCAGAGGAAGCGGAGGAAGCGGAGGAAGCGGAGGACGTAGAGGAAGCGGGAGAGGTTGGGATTGTCGCGTTAGTACTTGCCGAGTCGCGTGCCACACGATCGCTAATGCTGCGGATCATCGCCTTTGCGCCACCCTCCTTACGGCTCTGCGCTCCCTCGCGACCCGCATCTGCCGCTTTAAGAGGGAACTCCCTCGACCAGTTATCACGGCTCTTGGATTCACGGTTGTGTATGTCGCTCTTTGCGCCGTGCGTTCCGCTGGTTCCTTGAGACGCACCCTTTTCCGGCGTGCGGACTCTCGGCGTCGCCGCGTCCACCGCCCCGCCTCTGTCACCCACCAGGAGCCGCATCGCGAGGCGCCGAGGGAGGTCGCGAGGCGACGCGGATCCGTTACTTGAAGCAGCGTCGCGCGGAATCATTTCAAGGGAACGGCGACTGGATTTCATGGCTGAAGGAGTGCTTGCGGGTGGCGACATGGGGGACAGCGTGCTCCGCGGGGAGTGGAGAGGTGGAACAGAAACGCTGGGGAGGGTTTTGATAAAGCGGGAGAGCGAGTCGGAGAGGAACGAGTCAGTGGACGACGATTTGCGATGGGACCTGATCGGAGACAACCGATCTATGCTGGCCATGTCAGTTACCCCTGTAAGGAAATGTATTTGAATACCACTACACCCAACGGTGGAATGGATGGGATTGATCATCAGGGAAGCGGCCAAAGCAACGAGTAGGCAGAGCAGCACAACGAGGTGGAAGAGGATGTGACGAATGGGCGCTGTAGAATGCTGAGTTCAAATCTCAAAACCTTGTCCAAATGGGCACCCTTGACGTGGCTCGGTGGTTCGCTCAACAAGGAGTGAGTAGTGGGATGGGGAGGGATGGGAGAGGGTTGCATAACATCACATAGGTATGAAGAATGCAAGAAGAATGCAGCTGCGACAAGAAGATTGCAATGCAAGCAACTGCCACTGCGAATCTGCGATGCTTGCCATCCCTGATGGCGGCTCGAAAGTCGCGCCTCCATCGCACTGCTTCCAAGTTCCACTTCGTCGCTGCGCTTCGATCACTTGCGCTTCCCTGGGCTTTCCGCCTTCCTTCTCCCTCTCCTCCCCATCGATCCGCCTCCCCCCCCGCTCGCCACCCCAAGATCACCCGTAAGTCAATCTATACGGGCAGTCACAAAAGGTTTGAGATTATCATATTGACTGTTCAATTACTCGGGGTACACAACCCAGTTGTCAGTTGTTACTGCCAGAATTTCTCACATGCTGACGAACTGTCAAAAGTCCCAAAGTTCTTGTGACTGCCCGTTTGATTGAAATATGAACTGGTCAGGGAGCGCCACCTCGAAAGTGACGGAGTGCCGTGAAGCACTGGAAGCTGTACAAGTGTAAGGAAATTCCCTTTTCCTTACTTCGCATCCCTGCTCAACGCGTACATCACTGTAGCACCTCAGTCAGCACCGTTACCACTCGCGACCATCGCATCATTCATCATCCCGCCCTTTTCGCACATCGCATCCCGACCTCACGGCTCGGCTGGTAACCCGCGCTCCGGGCCTACGCTTCGACACTTTCCCAACCTCAGTCCCAGGCTCGTCGCGCGACCATTACCGTTACCACTATAGTTTCGCTATATAATGTTCGCTCATGCCTTCGCTCATTTGTATTCCTTGCTTCGATAGTGCAATTCTCGTTCGTTCACTCAATTGCACTCGTAACACTTGGTATTCAGAGCCTACGATCTCATCTCGGACCGCACCCACACCTTCGCTTCCCACTATCTCAATTTTTGGGGGGGGTAGACGTCTCTCAGCGACACAGCACCGCCGCTCGTAGTGCTCTCTCGAAAGCACGCACGGCCACGACCGAGGCTCTCGCTGAGCTTGCCCGACACCCCCGCCATGGCCGATTTCAATCTCGC